TTTTGATTTCAGTGATCCTGGTTCATGGCCACAAAGTTTTTCTGATTCAGAAAGATGTTCATAACAAAAATGAGATTTGAAAATTTAACTGAACCAAATTTGAGTAACAGTAGCCGAGAAGGACGCAATTTAACTAAAGACTGGTTTTATAAAGTTCTCAAAAATGGAGAAAAAATGAAAAGATCATGGTTAGCCTATAGTGAAAGTAATAAAGCTCTCTGTTGTATTCCCTGCAGACTGTTTCCACACTTAGCTTCAAATCAAATGTCTTCTTTAACTAAAGAAAAAGGACTTACCAATTGGAAAAAACTTAATGAAAAGTTGCCTGAACATTTTTTGGAACTTTGAACAGCTTGTATTCTTTTTTTGCACTTTCAACTTCACGTTGGGAAGTTCTCAAAGAAAATGTGCCGATAACATTAAAACCTGAAAGCAAAACAAGATGGTCTGCAAGATTAGATGCAGTCGAAGCTGTATATAAACATTATAGTAAAGTTCTGCAGACTCTAGAAGATCTTAAAAACTATGATTTCTCAACTCCTCAAACTGTGAATGAGGCCAGCTCTCTTTTGAAAAATATTCAAAAACTTGAATTTATCGTGATGGTTAGATTTTGGCATGCATTGTTAGAAAAGATTAACCATGTAAACGAATTTTTACAAAAAAAAGATTTAACAGTTGATTTGGCTGCCCGAAACCTCAAAGGTCTTTTGACACTTATGAAGTCTTGCAGAGAGTCTGCACCATCTGAGGCCATTGCTGAGGGTAAATTGTTAGCAAAAATGAATAATCTAACATCTGCATTTTCAGAAAAGAGACTAAGATGGTTAGATTTTGGCATGCATTGTTAGAAAAGATTAACCATGTAAACGAATTTTTACAAAAAAAAGATTTAACAGTTGATTTGGCTGCCCGAAACCTCAAAGGTCTTTTGACACTTATGAAGTCTTGCAGAGAGTCTGCACCATCTGAGGCCATTGCTGAGGGTAAATTGTTAGCAAAAATGAATAATCTAACATCTGCATTTTCAGAAAAGAGACCAAGAATGAAAAGAAAAATAGCTGATGAATTGTGCAATGATGAAGCTCTGACAAGTGTTGAAAATATGTACCAAGTGACTATGTTAGAAATCATTGACAGAGTGATTACAGAACTTAGTGACAGGTTTGAATCTTTAAATAATGTAAACAGTACGTTTGGGTTTTTGAGTGGTGTTAAAATTGAAGAAATGCAGACAGCAGATCTAAAAATTAAAGCCGAAAATTTGGCAAATATATACTCAGCTGATCTCAACATTGATGAATTCATGTTTGAAATAGAAAGTTTCAAGCATCACGCTTTGACAGTTGACAAAAGTTTAAAAAAAGCCACATCAAAAGAAATGCTAAGTCTCATTTATAAAGAAGAAGGCTACCCTAACATCACTACTGCATTGAGAATCTTTCTCACGTTGCCTGTCACAGTGTCATCTGGAGAACGAAGTTTCAGTAAACTCAAAATCATCAAAAACTACATGAGAAGTACAATGGGACAGGGGAGACTTTCCAATTTAAGCATAATTTCAATTGAACACAAACGAGCATCTCTTATCAATTTTGATGATATAATCAATACATTTGTCACTTTGGAATCTGTTGTTACCTGGAACTGCGGCTAATCACTGGCTTAATTGACTACCTGCGGAGACAAAACGATCCTTCAATGAGCTAAAAACTTGTGTTCATAGACATTATAACCCAAAAGAGTTGCGCTGGAAAACTTGAAGTGACATATGGACAGCAAAACAGGGTGTTCGAGAATCAGTGGATGTTTACTTTTTCAGAATGCATGCACTTGCTTCCAGTGCCGATGTGGATGAAAATGACATCAATCAGCCGTTATTCAGCCGTTGAGCTAGGTTTAAGAGATGACATTTAAAAAGGAGTGACGTACATGCAACCGGGTAACATATATGAGTTGTTGGAAGCCGCGAAAATGGTAGAAGCTAACATTTCGAACTGCGACAGTAACGATTTGGAGAATTCACTAATAGCAAAAATTACAACATTACTTAATACAGTTCAAAATAATATAAAAAAAATACAAATCCAACGAGAGTAAGAACGTGAACAGACTAACACATAATTAAAGAAGCGACAAAAATTCAAATTATAAAATAAATAATTACAATAATAATCGAGATCCATTTCGTCGGCATTCAAAATCATCTACAATTTTAAAGCGTTCAATGGGAAGGAAACAAACATGAAAAGCAAGTTGGATTTAATGAAGGTGACCAACACAGAACATTTTCAAGTTGGGTTTAATAAAAGTGACCAACACAGAACATTTTCAAGTTGGATTTAATGAAAGTGACCATCACAGAACATTTTCAAGTTGGATTTAATGAAGGTGACCAACACAGAACGTTTTCAAGTTGGATTTAATGAAGGTGATCAACACAGAACATTTTCAAGTTGGATTTAATGAAGGTGACCAACACAGAACATTTTCAAGTTGGATTTAATGAAGGTGATCAACTCAGAATATTTTCAAGTTGGATTTAATGAAGGTGGCCAACACAGAACATTTTCAAGTTGGATTTAATGAAGGTGGTTAACTCAGAATAATTTCAAGTTGGATTTAATGAAGGTGGCCAACACAAAACATTTTCAAGTTGGATTTAATGATTTAATGAGGGTGACCAACACAGAACATTTTCAAGTTGGATTTAATGAAGGTGACCAACACAGAATATTTAACAACAAATGTAACTGCTCAGAATCACTGCCCAGCATTTACCAAACGATGTTAAAAGTGTTCTAAATGTAACCGTTTCCCAAACGTTTGTCGTCCGTAGACAACACGGCGATCACGCACTACTCGCACCTGCCAACAGTCGCAACATTTCATATCAACATTTTACACACGTCATAACAAAGACACATTTCAAAAAAAAAGCACTAGCAAGATTCAACCACGTCATCCATCCTTTAGTACCACCAATCAAAACTGCCACACACAACCTTCGTCAACGCAAGCACAACTATCAAGCACAACTATCAAAACGATCCTTCAATGAGCTAAAAACTTGTGTTCATAGACATTATAACCCAAAAGAGTTGCGCTGGAAAACTTGAAGTGACATATGGACAGCAAAACAGGGTGTTCGAGAATCAGTGGATGTTTACTTTTTCAGAATGCATGCACTTGCTTCCAGTGCCGATGTGGATGAAAATGACATCAATCAGCCGTTATTCAGCCGTTGAGCTAGGTTTAAGAAATGACATTTAAAAAGGAGTGACGTACATGCAACCGGGTAACATATATGAGTTGTTGGATTTAATAAAAGTGACCAACACAGAACATTTTCAAATTGGATTTAATGAAAGTGACCAACATAGAACATTTTCAAGTTGGATTTAATGAAGGTGACCAACACAGAACATTTTCAAGTTGGATTTAATGAAGGTGACCAACACAGAACATTTTCAAGTTGAATTTAATGAAGGTGATCAACCCAGACATTTTCAAGT